GTCAGCTCACCAAGATGCTATATTAGGACAAAGGGTGAAAGGCGATGACCTGCCCGACACTGCACAGTCAGGTGAACACTTCTTTTCAGCAGAACGCAGCACACCCCGTTAACTTTTCACATCAGTAATCTTGCACTCACAACTCCAGTAAGGTCCAGGGTGAGGGCATTGTCACAAATCCTCTTAATGAATCGTGGCAACATCTTTTCAAACACAATTCACTAACTATTTGTGACTTTCACCAAATCTCAACAAAAGCAATGGCCATAAATTACAAGAACTGCGTAACAAGACACAAAAATCACAATACAATATGTATTTAAGTTGAGTAAAAAAAAAAATTGAAAAGCCAAAATTTATTTTGCTTTTATTTTTTTTGGTCGAAGTCCAATTACCAACATAATCCACACTGCCTGATGAAAGCTATTAACACAAGTAATTTTCTGAGAAGAAGCAAATTTAAATACAGATCAAGTGTAAATGATTTCAAGTGCAACACTGGAGATTTTTATGTTCATAGTTGTCCCTTTTAGGAATATCACAGGGTGATGTCTAACAGAACAGTGGAAACCATCTAATTTTTGTCAGTATGTCTGATATGACAAATAATCTAAAACCTCACCATAATGGATTCATAACACATGGTCTCCTAACTCCCGTTATGAAAATAACGAACATTAATATGCGTATCGTAACACCCCTACTGATAACTGACTGTAGTTAAGTCACAAAGAACTTAATAACTGTTACACCTTTGGGGGTTCTTGGATATGAAGAATTGTTCTGTATCCTCGCCTTCCATTTGACTGCAAAAGAAGATTTTGCTTGCAAGAGGACAGCAAAAATGCAGTGCACCTCACACAACTCAGACAACTTGTGTCCTTCAGTTTCACACCTCCCGACTAGTGTAATTAAAGCTCCAACACGTTCAGTGTAGTTACCATGCCCTCTTGTGTCTCAATATTGGCACAGCAGTCTCAGGCCATCAATAAGAACAGACCCTACAGTAGGCTAACAATAAACATTGAAATTTTCTTAACAATATTAAAAAGGAAAAAAGAAATTCCAACCAAGAGCAAAAATCAGCTATTACTGACATCTTCTTAAGGTCCTGGCAGCCAAGTCAATTTCTGAAAGAACCGAACAGAATGATTTTTACAAATAAGGCAACCGTGGTATTCAACATCAACCTTTAGCAATCCTTTATTGATGATAACAGATCATATTCACTGTTTGCTAATGAAACATCACAACATCATACTGGGGGCTATCATTACATGGATTAGAGAGGGTCAGAAAGAAATAGGGAGTGAAGGAAAAGAGAATGCACAAGAGTTAAAAAGGGTGAGAGAGAGAGAGAGAGAGAGAGAGAGAGAGAGAGAGAGAAATAGAGATAAATAGAGAGAGAGAGAGAGCACAAGACAGAGAGCCCTCTATCAAAATCTCAAAAACAGACTGATTCAGCAGTCTCCCTCCCAGCTCCCATCAAACTCCCTCCCTCTCACACAGCACATCCATAAAGCCAAATATTCTGAATAAATAAAATCTGTCACAATAATCATTCTATTCATCAATAATTGTAGATATACAAAAGAGTGGGTACTTGTTTCTTGGCACCCACAGCACAAAATATATATCTTTAACATTTCAATTGGAAATCATTTAGTAAATTTAACTCCTATCCATCATAAAATCAAGCTTTCCAGCATATGGCTACAAGTTTGTGTGTACCAGTGGGAAAAGAAACTGCAAAAATATATATACATACATAAACAATCATCTCATTAAATTCAATTAACACGCATTTTAAAGCTAAACACCAGATCAGGTGAGGTCAATGAAGCAGAAAAAAAACCCTGGGGATGGTTGGCCTCGAATAGCAATAAATGTTTCTGTAGAGTAAAAGGGGAGTGGGGGTAGGAGTTGGAAAGAAGGGCGTTTAAAGTATTTATGTAAATGAGCACATCTGAAGTAATATGACTGAGTTTTTGTCCATACAGCATGAATATGAGGATGTGGAAAAATATAAAGAAACAGACATGAGGATGTGAGCAACACTCATGTTATTCAGCGCTTGGATATATACAAACATGTACTTACATATGTATGTATAAATTGTATGCATGTATGAATGAGTGCGTGTAAACAAGGGTTACATTCATCCACAGCTAGCTGTCCTGTAAGCATATCTTTACTGCAATGGATCTGCCATTGATTCTCACAGGCACAGTTAAAAATCTGAAATAAACTACTGTAAATTCTTCCCCCGAGGGGGACAAAAGTGAGTGAAGAGTGGGAGAGTTAAAAAACAAAAAAAATTAAAAAAGGATCACGCAAGAATTCGAGTACCTATCAAACAAAAGGGAAAGAGAGTGTACTCCCCCACTCTTTCATGTCTTTGCTGATGGATCAGGACATATATATACATATTTCTGCAGTTTTGCTTTAGAAATACTCTAACAACCTTTACCTTCTCAAATATTTATTTAAAGTCATGCTTTCTGTAATCAAAACTGACTGCAAAACACCACCAATTACACCATATGATCATTAAAAAAGCTTTAATTAAAAAAAAAAGCTTTAAATGATTTTTTTTTTTTAAAGTTCTTTAAAAGTAAAAAAAAATTAAGTTAAAATTTTTGTTTTAAATGTTGTACTTTTGTTAGAGGAAAAACAAAAAAGCAGAAGGCAAGTTGATGAAAAACCACAGTGAGGAGTGCTAGGAAAACGAGCGAAAGAAGATAGAAGGGGAGGAGGAGCAAAGATAAAGGATGCAGAGGCTTTAAAGGAGACATTCTTAATCCAGTTCTTCAGGATCCCCAACTGGTCCCCATCTTTATTCTATTCCCCAAAAAAATAAAATAAAATAAAATAAAAAAATAAAAATTTGCCTGAGCTATTTAATCAAAGTCGGCAGAACATTAGTATCCCAGTTGGAACAGAAGAAAATGTGAACTTAGCTGAGAGTCCTCAAGAACTGGATCTAGAACCTGTGTTGTAGTGAATGCCTCAGGAAGTGGAGGTCAGCCTCCAAAACCCAAAAGCTCACCATAGTGACATTCCCTACAGTAGTTCTCTTTCATCTCAAGCTGCTAGGTGAGCATGTTCTATTTTCCTCTTGATCTAATGAGTGCTCTATAATTTTTTTCTTGTTTGTTTTACAGCAAGCACCAAAAAGAAGCATCTGAAACAGTAAGCATAACCCCAAACAGAACTTAAAAGGATACATAAGAATTCACAAGCAGCAGGACAAGGAACATGAGAGAATCTGAGAAGAGTGTAAATGCAGGATTTCAGTAGAGTTGTGGTGTTCGGTGGCAGGCAGAGCTGAACACGGCGAACACCGATAGGGAACACCTATCGGCCATGTCTCTGGGAAGCTGCACATGCTTGGGCTGGGGATGAGAGCCACGTCTGAGATACAGGTGAGGAGGTGCAGGGTAAGCTCCACATGCTAGAGCACCCTGCAAGAACAGAAGTCCAAACATCTCCCCTCTCCCCATCAGAGCACACACTGGCACTGCCATCTGTCCACCTGCAAAGTCCAGAGTCCTCTCCTACAGCTCAGCAACATGCCAAAAATCCTCAAACAGTCTTGTCATCACTCTCAGGTAACTTATAGTGGGGAGGGGAAACAAATCTTCAGTCTTGTCATCAATCTCAGTTAGTGGGGAGGGGAAATGATTGAGAGAGAGTGAAAATTATTTCTCTCTATACCAAACAATGATGCAGTTCTAAAAATCTTGCAATTCTGTAGATTCCTCCTTTTCAAAAGAGGTGTATGTTGCATTGTGTTTACTTTCCAGACTCTTAACATTTCCTATGAATTTCTTGGAATCAAAACCAAAAAGTGTTAGTAAGGATTTTCTTCTGTGTGAACTGCAGACATTCTCAGATGGAGACCGTAGTCTTCGGTGTCTCTGGTTACCAGGGGTCATCCAGGTCGCCTCCACTCTATGACAGGGAGAAAAAACAAGAGAGGGATAGCAATGAGCAATCTAAGGGGGAAAAAGAAAAAAACATGGAGGAAAAAGACTACTAAGAACCAAGGAGATTGCAGAGAGAGCAAAGCATGCCTAATATCTGTATAAAAAAAAATGATAACCATATTTATCTGATTCAAAAATTACACAACTTAACCAATGGTATATGTGTAAAAGCAGTGATGACTCTGGGAACAAAAGAAGCAAAATGACTTATAAAGGCAGCCTTTTATTAACCTTAGGTGCACCACAGACCACTGATGAGGATGAAAACCACAAATCTCATAGAGGACAAAGATAACTAAAAATGAGGGGAGAAAGGAAGAAACTGGAGGAGCATACTTTCAACACAAACTGGTACCACACAAGGAAATGCAGAGCCTGCTACAACTTCAGAGGCAGAAACAAAGATTAACAGCAGAGTTACACTATTATGGTTATACCACATAATACCAAACAGTTTAGTCTTAACAATAAAGGATGTGTAAAGGCAAAACGTAACCACTATACCGTAGTAGTAAGGCAAGATAAAAGCAAGTTCTTGTGTTCCAATTACACTGCAACTGAGAATAAAAAGCACAAAATTGTCCAACATAGACCTTACCTATACTTACCTGAAGAGAATACAAAGCAAAATCTATTAGATGTACACATATCAGTGCAAAGCCACACATTTTTAAGTGTTGTTTACAGTGGCAGATGTTCATACACTCTCCTTTTGCATTAGCAAGCGACATACCCTCCAAAATGACGATGAACAAAACATTTCGTTTTAAAATGGGATATGCCTACAAGGGAGCATGCAACCAGATGTGCTGCCTCCACAAGCATCACAACCATTGACTACATTAATATTACGAGAGTCAGTCTGTGAGCTTTTGCCATCTGACAAATGGAAATGTTTTAGTTGATGAAGGAAGCCAAATCAAATTATACAGTAATTACAAGCAACAGCATACACAACAGATGAACTGTTCAATAAGATTTATTTGGTCAACACAAAAGGAAAATCCAACACATTGTTCAGGATATAAAGTCTTGCCTAGGCTCCAACCCAAACCAGGAAAACAACGGTACTGACTACTGAATGCTCAAGAGAGAAATGATTTCTAGAACAAAGAAAATCAAACTCTAAACAACACTGATCCCACAGTCTTCTCAAAATTAGTAGGGCAATAAACACAATTTTTAATTACATTGTTATTACCTTTACATATGCAGTTATGCTTATAGTTTAGAGGCAATACAGAATGCTTTATGCAATTAATGCAAGACCAAATCAAGTCTGTATAAGCACAATTTTTTTCACATCCCTTTTAACATGGGGTAACTGAGGAGGGATGAAGAAAGAAAAAAAAACAAAAAAAAACATAAGCATCAGTATCTTCGGGCATGACACTTAACCAGTGTCGACAGGATTAGAAACTATCCAGTTCACAGGTTGATGGATAAGTGTTTCTGTGCAAACTGTGCAAAATACAGACAACTAAGAGCAATCATGTACCAGTGGTCTGTCAGCTAACCTGAGAATGGTGTTAAACAACCTGCCATAAGTGAACCTGAGCACAAGAATATGACAAAATGTTGGGGGAAAGTCTGTAGGAACAAATGGCCACATGTGAGTAAATAGGGAAATGACAAAACTTTTGTTATAATGTTTAGTACTTAATAAATGCTGTTGCATTGACATTTTTGTGCTTTTTAGTGGCAATTGCCTAGTACGCCCCTCACCCACACCAGAACACTCAAAAAGGAGACAGCAAACATGAGACTTTAATTGTACAGTTTATACATATTATACATATTTATCATATACAGTTTATCATATCAGTTTATCATACAGAAATACAGGTTTGTACCCATTAATTAAATCAGAGATACTGTTCAAAGAAATAACCTTAGACAGTATTGACAGGTGTCTCATATTTGTGCCTTCACATGTCATTCACACACACTTTCAGCATCACAAAAGCGCCAAACATGACACACACTCCCTAAAATCAATCAAAAGACAATCCAAAATGCAAAGTACACATGCACTGCATGGCAAGCAGCATGTGCTGGTGTGCACAAAAGCAAATAGTCAGTGATATCCCTGGCAAGCCCCAGATTGTCTGTTCCATTAACAATGTAATTCCCTTTTTAAACATTATCTATCTACATGGGGTAAATACTGGAATACCACCTTCAAAAGTGGTTGGGATGTTTCTGCACCCTTATCAGAAGAAGCCACATGTACCAAGCATCCGCATGTACCAAGCTACTCCATGTCACCACTGAAATTCTACAGTCAAATATACTCTCATATATAACCAAATAAGGACTCCACAAGGTCTAGATCAGGTCAATGTTAAGTGCTGCAAATCAGATAAGCGATGATTACAGACAGTGCTGGGATACGCCAAGGATGACATCATTTACAGTTACAGAGCAGGTTTTCAGCTACGAGAATGAACTCAGTTAACTTTGTTTCAAGGAGTTTGACTCTTCTGTGGTTTAATTAAGACCAGATCTAGGCCAGCATCAAGATAACTTGTTCTCCTTTGCCAATACATACATATACATACTAAAACAATTAACCAAAAACCTGCACCGATACTGTTCACTGGGTTGGGAGGGAGCCGTGCCACAAGACATCTGGGGAGAGAACTAGTGCTCTGAGCCAGGGAGAAGAGAGGAAAGTTGGTGAGCAGGATAAGAGAGGGGTTTGGAGGTTATTGGATTGGACATCAAGGGTCATGCAACAGGGGGATCAGAGAGCTCGTCGAGTGGTGGTGGCGTGGCTGCGTCGTCAGCTCCCTCCTCAGAGTTGAGGGGCTCAGTGGCAGGGGATGGTGGGGGCGAGGGAGGATCCTCCTCAGGGTTCGGTCGCGAGGCGCCGCCTGGCTCACAGGACAGCCGGTAGGTGGACAGTGCTTGCTCCAGCACGTGGCGATAGTCGCCCCGGTGGCTGAGGCGGAATTGGCGCAGTGCCTCCAGCAGGTGGGCAGCAGCGCTGCTTTCTTCTTCCTCACCGGCAGCGGCCGCGCCTCCCTGGTCGTCCTGGTGCAAGACGCCAGTGTCAGTGGACAGAGCAGCTTAAGAAACTGGACCTGATTAGCACAGGCCGCCTGCCCAAGACCTCACACTGCCCTCATCCTGGCTCATCATTAAGAAAGACTCAGAATAGGGTGCCGGGACAAAGATGGCTGCCCCAAATCAGAGAAGCTGACAGCTGATGAATGTGTGAGTGTAACAGAGTGAGAATAAGCACCTGAACACAACATGTGCAGTCATCTGCTCAACAACAAAAAAAACATACTGCAGGCAATGCACGTTCATTTGTGTTTCAAGATTAATCCAAGTATCTGACTGAAACCTGAACAACAATGTATGTGTAGGACCTCTCGTCACGGACAAATACAAAATATTTTCAAGCAAGACAAACACAAGACAAGTGATAAGAAAATCTCCCTAAGATGCCATTTTTATAAATTCAAGACATAAAGAATTCAGGTTCCTATACTGGTTTAAAGACAACATGTGCTCATCAGGTTCCTCACATCACATACTCAAGTACTGCCCCAGACCTTATGCTGCACAAGAAAAAAACATACATGAGGAGAGGCTGTAATGAATTAAAACCCAATAACATGCCCTGCTAATGATACCTGACCTTGTCATCTCTGCACTAGTATGTGCCCATCAAGTCTGAATAGCTTACATGCAAGAGTGTGTACTATAATGACCTCCTAGTGTGCTTACAGCATTAATATTTAATAAGAATAATATAAATTGCAACTCACCCCATCTTCTTCTCTATGTGGGTTAAGCCTGTTGTACACAGCCTCGATTACACTGCGCCTGAGAGTTAAGAAGTAAGACGTTGAATGAACACAGGAACACAGAACAAGGACACAGTGTGACTGATGTGAAGCACCAACATGTAGTTCTACGTTCAAATATTCTCTCACATACAATAAAGCCAATAAATAAACAACAAATAAAGACTCCACAAAGTCTAGATTAGGTCAATGTTAAGTGCTGCAAATCAGGTAAGTGATGATTACAGACAGTGCTGGGATACGCTGAGGATGACATTTACAGTGTGTACCACTGAAACAGACACTAACATGTCACTACTACGTCAGTGCCGAAAATGATCCACCCCTCAAATAATTCCTTCTCTGTGGTGGTCCTGACCATTGAAGAATAGGGTGAAAGGGGGATAACAAAGTATACAGATGAACTACAAAGTGCACCTTTAAAGGTAAGTGGACCTGATAAAATGGAAAATGAGTGTAGAAACAATTAATGAACTAATGTAATTAATGAACTGGCTAGTCGTACATGCAATGTAGAGTGGATCATGTTCTAATATGCTGCTGTATTTTGACACTTTATGGAGAAAATGAAAAGAAAAAAAAACAAAAAAAAAACAAAAACCCTACAATGCAGCCAATTCACCTCAAAGCTCCTGGAGAAATGTGAGTGAAGTTCTGTAAATGGCCCTGATATAACCTATAAAGCAGGGCTGGACTGGGAACTAAATTTAGCCCTGAATCTTTGACTGGACTAGTCCACTACAACCACAGTGACCTTCCCACCAACCACCCTGGACTAAGCCTGCTATCAGAGTGGACGCATATTTTTGAACAACAGTAAACACGGTTTCTCTCTTTAATATACATGAAGGTAAACACATAATGATACATTAACATTAAGTTAGCCTTCTTTAGCCCTGCGGTTCCTTGCTCTGACATCCGAAAAAATTATGAACTTTCATTTCCTTTGCATCTTGTTCAAGTTCTGTTTTTTTCTTTATCACACACTCCTACCCCCTTGTGCTTTTTTAGAAGTTTCCTCTCCATCTCTCTCTAGTTAGCCTTCATGGTTTAACTTTGCCAGTTATCATCACTATGCTTTGTTCTGGGTCAGCAGCATTTGCATGATGGACCACAGAATGCAGCGTATATACTGGAGTGCCCAGATACGTGCACTCCAGTATTCGCTCGGCACGTACTGTTTGTCCTGGGTATTCTCCAGTCATTTTATATAGAACTACATCAGAAATGACCATCTATTTCTCTCTTTCTCACTCTCTTAGCAGCCCATCGGGAATTCTACCTAGAGTGGCAGTAGCTTCCCCTTGTGCACAATCTTGTTAAACGTGAGCATGTGAGTGAGTGAGTGAGTGAGTGAATGAATGAATGAATGAATGAATTACAAGCCACCTCCACTAGGTGCCTTGCATCTAAAAATAGAGCTGGTCTGACTATTCCCTGACCAGATTCATTTTCTAAAGGTAAGTAACATTCAAGGCAATTTTCTTAGTCTGGGTTGATGACATAAGTATGCAGCATATCAATATGGACAACTTAGAGAAATTAAATACTGAGAGCGAGTTTTCATACTTGCTAACAAGACCACCTCCTGGTGGTAAATTTGAGATATTCTCGGCAGAGAGAGTACGCATAACAAAGGCCAGGTCTGGGATACCTTCCTCCCCTGACTTCTCCATGATCTCTGCAAGTTCAGAAAAACAATCACACACAGATACAAGAACTGTAAATGGACCACCTTAACTAAACATTTCATACTCGCTAAAAGGAAGCACATCTGGATGTGAGCTTTGATTAATTTCTACGTCCCTGAAGACACAGCAATTGATACCAACATCTTTACATAGTGGCTCATACAGAGCCTGGGATAACAATGGTAATTCATCACTGTTTCCTTTCTGATGTCACCAATATTTGGTCAACACATCTGAACAGATACTGATGGCATCCATAAGCTTTATGAGCAAAATATTCACTTGTAATGTGTGACCGTAGGACATTCCCTTACCCTCAACACGAGACTCTAAGAACTTGTCAAGCTCTGCCTCTTTCTTCACTGCTTCCTCTGATACTTTGGGTGCATTTGGGAAACACACCAGCACAACACTCATGTTGTCGCGACTGCCCTAAATAGAAAAAGAGAAAGTATGCTTTAAACAAAATAAATAAATAAATAAATACATACATGTGTTCAGTGTTGCACTTAAAATATCGCTGCTATTGTAAACTCCCATAAATCTGTTCTGTCTCTTCCATTTGCCAATATTTTACTCTGAATGGAAACTGTGACATCTTTTTTGTGGCATCTACTTGTACTGAGACACTAACCAGAGCATGAACTTTAAAAGAACTTTTGAGACAAAGGGGGGGTATGAGAAATGTCTATAAAATTCTACAAAACATTCTACAAAATAATGGTGTTATTCAAAAGCAGTGATTTTCTGAACAGTGATGTTTCTCTGAGGATCTACTACAAAGATGCAAATATCCCACACAATGTTGTGCAATTCAAAATTCACATTTTTAAACGATATAGACAAAAAGGTATAGAGGTGACTATAGACACACCTCAATCAATGACTGACTTATAACTCACTTTGGCTAAATGGATAAAAAAAGAACTATTATGCTAACATTAAATTTTGACAGTAGTTACTAAAGGCTAACAGGAATGCTTAAATGGCAAAATATAAATATCAGTATGAAAGCTGTAAACAAAAATGCCAGCATGAAAGCTGTAACTACAAATGCCAACATAAAAGCTATAAACACAATAAAATTCCACCCTGCGCTACTTTTACCTTGTGTAGACATGTATCCACCACTGAGTTGCAGACTTTCTCTAGGTCATCCCACACCTCCAAACGTGAGCGCACAAACTCACACAGCTCCTCGTTGCTCATCACGTCCCAGATGCCATCACAGGCCAGCACCACAAATTCATCTTCCTCTGGAACTCTGGGGATCTCAAAAACCTCTGGCTCAGGCGACACCAGCTGCTCCGTGGGTCCCTTTCCATCTACGCACTTGTAGTCATAGTCTCCCAGGGCCCGTGACACAGCAAGAGAGCCATTAACCCGCTGGATCATTACAGAGCCTCCAGCATTCTGGATACGTTCCTTCTCACGTGGGTTACAGGGCTTGTGGTCCTGCGTGGAGAAGCGCACCTGTCCAGCCCGGGACAGCACTGCCCGTGAATCTCCGCAGTTGATGAAGTAGAGGTGTTCAGGTGACAGCAACACACCTACTGCTGTGGAGCCACTGCGGTCCATGCCATTTCGCAGGTCTGAGAAGTTGCGCATGTACTCATCAATCTTCAAGAAGCCTGAGCGGATCCCACTTTTCACACCCTCCACAGAATCAGGGCCGGGCCTAAAGTCCTCACTGCTGGTGATGATGTGCTCTAGCAAGTGTTTAGAGCAGTAGTTGGCCACACGGGATCCAGCGTGGCCATCGTACACAGCAAAGAAGGACCAGTCATCCAGACCATGAGGAAGGCCTACCACAGCTGTGTGTGCGTCCTCCATCTCCACCCGCCAGCCCTGCATGCTGCTGAGGCCAAAGCGCAGGCCGTTACCTGCACCGTGGGCATTGTGCTTCTCTGTCTTCGGTTTGTCCAGAAACGCCCCCATGTCTCAGGACACCGTCTGCACGAGAGAGAGAGAGAGAGAGAGAGAGAGTCAAATATACATTAAAAGAAACCCTTTTGCTTAAACATATTTTTTTCAGATCATGAATCCAATTTCAAAGGACAGAATTTGGTAGCCATGACTTATCAGGTGTCTTGTAGTCAATGTCAAACGTAGATGTCAATGTATTATAAAGTTACAGAGCCCAGGGCTTCCCAAAGTTGTTTTTGGTTTCGATTCTCAGTGGCTGAGGAAATGTACTGTATAGATATAAGCTGTTCTGCTGGGCAGCTTAAGTACTAACTGTAGCCTGTCGTACGTCTACAATTTATTTGCTTTGTGTGTGATCTTCATTGTATTAAAAAAAAATTCCACCTGGACATAAGCCAGTGAATCACCGTAATAGTAACAAAAATAAAGTATACTGAGATTTATTATGCAAATTTATGATCATACTTGAGTTCATAAAATGTTAACATTTCAAAATAAAAATAATTACACCTAGGAGTTAACAAGGCCAATGATCATGCATCTACTTTGCCCAAAAATGATGCAATACCTGACACTGCCAAATATGACCAGCTATTTCTTCCCTTCACAAGTTTGATTCCCCTACCATACTCAGTATTCAGGACTGGAGCAGCTTTAAGCTGCTTTGAGCAAACCTCAAGCCTAAGTCCATTACATGCCTCCAGAAATAACCACTAAAATGTATTTCCAACTCTAAATAAACCATTAATCAAACTGGACTGTGCATTAGATATGCTCAACACCCCATGCCTTGACACAGTCAGCAAAGCAAAGGAGTATTTAAATCAAAGTTTTCTCAACTGATCTAATTAGAGAGCTCACAGGATAGGTCAATATATCACCAACCCATCCCACCCCACGTGACTCTAGATGTTTCACTATGTGCACAAGCTAGTCTGCTCTGTTGTTCCAGTAAGAGAATCACAGCAGTCAGCAGGACCCAGTTCCAGTGGAAGCTCCAGCATACATGAGATCCTGGTTCACACCAAATATCTGTCACCCACGTCCATAGCCCCCAAATGCAGGGCCAGAATTACACAGGGGCGGCGTCTCTGACCAGCCCATGCTGCTGCTCTGTGCTCCACAAACAACAGGCATGGCAGGCATGTGCCCAAAAAAGGTTACTGAGTGCTAGAGCACATGGTGGACGCAGTTTCTCCCCGAGTGGGGGTCGAGGTAGTGGTTGTTCTGCATCGTCATGGCTGGGTCTGCCAGGCTGTCTGCTTGACCACCCCACCCACTCTGAGCACCACACTATTTATAACCACCTACAAGCCTAGCTTAGGTTACAAACTGCTGCAGCTGGTCTGAGGAAGATGGCACACCCCTCTAAAGCCATTCATACAAGGAAGTTAAAACCTTTCCACAACGTTTTATGACAATTTCTTTTTGTCAAGCTCATATAACCTTTTTCATAAGGAAGAATTTCAGGACGCGTCTACGAAAAGCTTTCTAGTTTTGTTTTATGATTTACTCACAACTATCCCTAGTCCATCACTGCAGGCACTGAGTGACCTGACAGGAAAAAGTGAAACTATCCATGAGACCTGTTTGAAGAAGAAAAAAAAAAAAGTGTGAAAGTTAAACTTGATAAATCCAAACTTTGTGGCAAATTTAGAGGATTAAATCTAGGATCAAAATGGCTGAGAAAGTCTTTCAGAAAATCTACATTTTGATGCCTGTGTTAAAAGCACATCCATGGCTAGCAACTTTCCTCACAGAGTACTATTGCATCACAGTGCAGCTCCATCTACCAGGATAAGCAGGGGGGTAATGGCACAGTGCATACACGGGTTAACCAGCGTTTCACTGAGGTGGTCTAACTTGAGGTGTGAAGGGCATACATTGTGGCCCTAGTAGGGGTCCTGTATGGCAGGGCACTCTTTGCAGTCACCCTGGAAACTCATACTGTTTAGCACCGCGCTAAGCGTGATGTTCACTGCTGTGCATAAGCAGGATGTCAGACACCCAAACTGAGACGGTACATATTTCCAAATTTTGACAGTGCAATTAAAAAGTATAAATATTGTACAAGAATGTGCTGACAAAATATATTGTGGCATTGCCACACTGCATTGCAAGTAGTTCAGATTTTTTTAAAGAAGAAATGTTTGGCTGTTTTAGGTTAATTAGTACAGGAACATTTATGTTAAAGAGCCTAAACACGGGTGGAGTGTTGAATTTCCCAAGAGTAGAGCAGAGGGCTGTGTTTTTAGCTGTCAGTGCTGGAGAGGCTGTGTTTGTCACTGTCTTCATCAGTGTTTATCAGAGTGGCAAAGGAGGGCTTCCAGTTTTCAGCCTCCCTCAAAAATCTTTCTTCAGCCTCAACACGTCAAATGGGAAAGTGGCTGGTACTTTTAAGAAAGCAACAATGATTCAGTGTAATCTCAGCCATTGTTTACAATGTGACCGTAAGTCATTTCACGCTACTATTTACGCTTCCGCATTAACAAACACAGAAGTGTGAGAATGGTCTATACATGCAACTGAGAGCAGTGGGAAACCTATTTGGATTGCACCCAGCATTCAAAAAACACTGCTCATTATCACCAGAAACCACTGCTTTTGCATGAGGCTCACTGACAACTACCGGTTCCTAGCTAGCATTTAGCTTGATAAAAGTTTGTTTCCTGCCTGCATGGTTTAGAAAGAAAGAAAAAAGAAAAGAACTACAATTACACAAGTACTACAGTTTTCTAAAATTTTAAATTATCAAATTTATGACATTTTTCTAAACATTCATTGCAGCCATACTGATACCACCATACAGTCATGTATATAAAAGATCAGTATGCAATTTTCTTTAAAAAAATAAAATAAAATACTACAACTACTACTACTACTACTACTACTACTAATAATAATAATAATAATAATAATACCAGCCTGATGTTGGAGTGGATGCATGTCAGAAAGCAGAAATGTCACTTTACAAGACAGGAATTACAATTGTTCATTTCAAACTGAAAAAAAAATATACACATAAAATAAACATAAAAAATGTATCTCTCAGCAAAGAAGTAGTTAAAAACAGCTAGCAGTCTTTTAACCACAGCTCATTCGCTTCAGATAGTTTGCTCTCCTGTTCAATTCAACAATAATACACAACTAGACATGCTAATATAATAAAATAATGTTAATTCTGCCATTGAACTAAATTAAACAAACTCGACTACTTGTATTTCATTTCAATCTACCTGATTAGCAACAGCCATTAATTTAGTACTAAAAAACAAACTGATCAACTGATGGTCTTCACCTCAGTATTATTTGACTGCCTCTGCTGTATTCCAACGTTCCAGTTTTTTGAAAGAGACAGAGAAATGCACCACTAGTCCAAAATGACAAGGAGCTCCTGCATAACAAAAAAAAAAATTCCACCAGGGATCCAGGTTTGTGATCAACACTTTAGTTATAAAGGTGGAAAGATATCATCAGATAAACAACCACACTTAAACAGGGTCAAGGTTAGTCTCGTCAACGCTATCAGCTCCACAGCTGGTCTCCAAAAGCAAACTTTACACAAGGCTTAAACGCCATTAACATCAGCAGTGATATGATGTTGGTACTATGAAACTGGCCTACTTGTTGCAACTTCTAATGGCTAGACTTAGTTTGATGTCCATCCTATGGTTTACATGGACATGGTTAGGAATACGGCTGAATGATTTGGGGAAAATATCTAAGTGATTTTTCTGACTAATATTGCAACTTTGACTTAAACTGCGATCATTTTCAATAAATTAAGGTTCAGGCCTGTTTTTTTTGGCTAAGACTACCAGAATAGCCACTTTTTCTGGCTTGAGTATTGACCCCTGAAAGTAGCATGCAAGACTGCCAGTAAGCTGTGGTTGTGAAGTCACAACACATGGAGATTTGGCTGCCTCTGATTGAGAGCTCATCTACAGGCAGTTCACAAGTCCTGTGTTAACTTTCCCCACTTAAAACTTAAGACAACATTTTTGATAATGAAGGCTATAACCTAAAATTGCAGCTCTTGCAATTTCAAAGCTGCACTGTGTTAAACTGCGATTTCGATATAAAACGATTCAATCTTTCAGCCCTAGCTAGGAAGGACAAAATACACCTTTTGAACCATGGCCCCTATCCTAATAAAGCACATTTGTGACTATTTTCCTTAATCTGGCTGGCTAGTAAGCCAGTGCTCTATTCTAAAAATAAAGCAAACACTGTGGCGTTGCCAAGCAACTCCAAGTGCTAAGCGCTAAACAGGGGACTTAGCTTCATTCAGTGACCCAACTACAAACACTAAGTCTTACTGGGACAAGGGACAAGCTCCACACAATACTATCAAAGAAAATTATTCTTTGTCCTTCCGCTCTGCTAACAGATTCAGGTGGTGACAAGACAGTCATTTACTCCAACTCCAAGATTTAGCCTAAGTTCATTATTACCAGGTTTATCTGAAATTAGTACATCATTTATAGTACAATTACACGAGAATACATGCACACTACGCATTGCTTTGTGCTTTCCATGTCGAGCGTTAGGCGCTCAGATCTCTGATCTAAAACCCCCGTCCTGCTTTTACTTTAAGAACTGCTAAACAAGAAAAATGCTAATCAGTATCACTCATGCTTATGGTTTATTTATCATCATCGTCTTTTCACTTTTAAAGCAAATTCAACGCACTATAACCTTCACATCAAGTCCAAGGTGTTTTGGCAAGCAGGAAGAAGGCTCAGAGACAGGAAGAAAAAAAATGGATCCATCCAGATGTAAAGGCGACAGTCGGTGGGACCTTAGTGTGAGTATTGGTATCTCTTCTGATGAACACACTAATGATCAAAATCAATTGTATTAATCAAGAACCAAAATCCTAAAATATTTTTAACAAGCTTAAAGTTCTAAAGCAACCAAGCTCAGAAGTAGGCTATAAAGACAGAAATCAGTGAATTCAAGGAGTGTGCTATCTGTTCCAAACACAGTGTATAAGAACTAAGATTTAACTAAAGAAGCTTCAACTA